CAAAGTTCAGCGAATTAAAAGACAGCAGCTGCATTGGCTAGCTCATGTTTTCCGAATGGACGAAAATACTGCAGCTCTGAAAGTATTCCTATTGAAAAAGGTTTCCTTCATTCAACCTAATACTTATCTGGACATATCTCCAATAAATTCTCCATGGATTGAGAAATTAAATCAATTGCTGGGCTTCTTGGTCCTACAACGATTGGTAAAATTAAAATGTACTTAGAGGAAACGTTACTACACTTTAGCGTCAAACTAGTTTCTAACTAGTTCATGTCCGTTTACATTACTGCTGCATTGCCAGATATATAGTATGTATAACAATCCAACATAGTTTTCTCCAACGGATATCTTAATTCAACCGCGACCATAATTTCTTAATTTCAGAGCAGCTGGTTCTAGATAATTCACTGTAATTTCCTGCTGCTGCTGCTTACCAACGCCCACTTTGTGCTTTTGGCGCCACAATGCTGTTGCACCAGTTTTCACTATATTATCACCAGCTTGCTGGGTTCATAATTTCCAATTGCCGACATGTTTGCGCGAGCGTGTGCACTGAAGTGGTGCGCGAAGGCAGCGGGTAGCTTTTARTTAGGCTATGCATTGTGTACAACAGCTGGAAAATTACACCTCACGTTTCGGGGGTCGCACGCTGAGGCGTCGTAAAATCCGCAACACTCCTCCGACATTATTGCTGTTTTTCGCGATATGACGTACTTTCCAAGTAACATATGTACATTTGTATGTATATTTGAGTGTGTTCGCAGTTGCCATACGCACCGAACTGCTGGCGCTGAAACAGTTGCTTCTATCTTGAGTGGCATGTCGCTCGGGTTACGGGGTTTTATTGCACTATGGAACAGTGCATTGTTGTACGCGTTTATACTCTTGAAACACGTTGCTATAGAGTACAATAATTTTGGTCATCTAACGGTTGTATGTATCGCCTAAAACTAAGCGAGATRATAGGTTATGTTTATATAAATGATCAGGATGACCAGACGAGTTGAAAACCGGTTGACTGTCTGTCTGTCCGTCCGTTCGTGCAAGCTGTAACTTGAGTACAATTTGAGATATCTTCAAGAAACTTGGTATGCAAGTTCCATTGTACAAAATAAGTACAAGTTGATGGACGTAATCTTAAAACTTTTTGGTGAAATAACAAAGCTCGGAACCCTACTTACCGATTTCGACTAAATTTAGTACCTAGAATTCTTCTCATATTCCGCGAAAATGGGTGAAATCGGACTACAAGCGCGCCTACTTCCTATAGAATCCTTGAATTTCGATACTGTGGTTGACGTTTTAGTTCTTGCAAGTTGCAAGAGTATAAAATGTTCGGGTATACCCGAAGTTAGCCCTTCCTTACTTGTTGTTTTCGTTTTTATTTTTAACTTTTTGTTATTCCTTTTTGTAGTTTTTAGATTTTGAGACTGTCGTATGGTTTAAGTGCTAGTGATTATGACTTTATTGTAAGCTCTTCGTGTTTAAGTTGCTTTTTCGTGTTGCAGGCGAAGTGCTTGTTCTGGTAAAATGGCATAAATATGTAGTGCTTGTACAATGATTAGCATATTTATGTATATGGAACAAAGTAGTTATACCAAAGTATAGGTCATACATATATTATGAGCACGTAACATTATTTTTGATGACCTTTAACATATTTGGACAAATCTTAAAATAATTGAAAATAATTTTCGAATAATTGTTTTATTTAAATTGAATTATAAATAAAAAAAAAATTGATTTATTTTTGTTACGAAGAGATACTGGAAAATATTATATTGATAAATTGGCGACTTTAAGTTTTCCTTGGTTGTTTTTTTTAGAGAAAGTTAGGATACGATGGCATTTTAATATTTTTATAAAATCTCTTAAAATGCTTGATGGTTACATTCTTAAATCGAGAGTACCGACTACCAAGGGTCGAAGCCATTATTAAGACGAGTCGAGTAGTACTTCTGTTTATACCCATTTAAAAAGCAATAGTCTCGTTTGGAATTGTTCTTAAAATATTAAAGCCAAGCAGCACTCTTTAGAGGCAAGGGCAGATCTCATTATTTAGTTTTACCTAATTAGTAACCAACAACAACGCGTTAAAAACGGTATTAAAATATCTGCGTTTAGGCTGGCATTCTTTAGTTCCAAAGAGAGTGGGGTTCTAAAAATAATAATGGAATAAATCCATTGACTAATGCGATGTGTGGAGAGTGGCGCAGTATTTTTGAAATCAAATATCGACGAGATCACTAGCTTCAATTTCAGGTATCAAATAGTCGGTTATCATGACGCGATAACGGTCGCCATTGACGGTTACATTCTTAAAGGCATCATTTTTAAAGATTCCATGATGATTGTTTTTTCTGGATGAAATGCCAGCACTTGAACCTCTTCAGCTTGTTCTTCGTCCCAAATGCAGCAATTTTTCTTTTCCACATACGCATCGAGCCAAAAATGGGCCTCATCGCTGAACAAAATTTGGCTCGAAAATGTCGGATCTTCGTGAAACTTTTCAAGAGTCAATAGAGCCGAGCGTTGTCACATGGGAAGTTCGAGTGGCTTCAGTTCTTGTACAAGCTGTATTTTGTATGCGCCATGACGTTCCATACGTCATTTCGAGTTGCCGCAAACGACACTGAATCATCTCTCCATGGTCTTCGTGTACATCCTCAGTTACGGCTGATATAATATATTTTCTTCACTGCGTGTTGGACCGGTTTTATTCGGTCGAACATTATCCAGTAATGAATGCTGAGTCTCAAGATGGGTAATGATGTTGCGAATAGCTCGTGAAGGTCATTTGTATTATATTTTCAGTTCAACCGAATTTAACGAGTTTTCTTGTTTTTAAGATACTAAGACAGTCTGGTAGCCTCCCAAAAATACTAAAATCCACACTGAATATCTTACATACAACAATATTACTCATTAAATACATTCAGTCCGCACTTTTTCATACTTTTATCTTCATTTATTACATTTGACTAGTTTGAGCGTTTGACTGCAATCAAAATTTTGCCTTTGTATTTTCATATGCAAGTTTTCTTTAATCTTTTTTATGCAACTGTTCGCAAATTTATATTTCTTTTCATCATTTTGTATTTAAGTGTATTTGTGCATAGACATAAGTTTTCGTGCTAAGCTCAGTGGCGTTTATTGTATTGAATGTTATTCTTCTTGTTGTTGTAGTGTAATTAAATCAATCTCTAAATATATTTATGTATGTTTGAAACGCTTTCGCAGCTTTTGATTTCAAGTTTATGCGGCGCGCATCTTCAAAAGTTCTATTGCCAAAACTTCCGTCCACAGATAGCTTGAGCAACAGTCCGGGCCCATCATCGCCAGGTGAATGTTTTCCAAATTTTTTCTACCAAATCAATTCCTATTTACAATTTCCATGTACCATGTTTAGCAACCTATTGACACAAACTTTGATCTAAATTTATAATTGGCTATAACAAACGATACAAATGAACACACGACACGTGAGAAAAGCTAACATTTATACATACTCGTATGTGCTGTAGAAGTATGTGTGCTGTGAGCACGATAAGACCCGTGGGTCTGTACATAATATACATATGAACTCAAAGTAAATATATATTTTGTTGTGTGCTGCTCAGAATACTTAAATTTTATATTGTTTGTATATAATAATACTTGTTATGTTTATGTTTTATTGCTGTCAATGAAATATACTTATTTTCTCCTAGTACATTTGATTCATTCAATTTCGGCTAAATTTTTGCACCCTTTGATATTTTTTGATTTAGTAAAATTTTTGTGATACGCATGCGCATAGTTATTTCTACATAAATTTGTAAATTATTACTATGCGAGAACGGTTTGCAAAGACTTTGTACGTGCCTTTTATACTATACTCAATCTTGGTGCTGTATTCTGGCAACTCACAACTGAAATAATGCAGAATAGTAAATTCTGAGTGGTATTCAATCATTGGTTTGCCACTTGTCTTGTAGGAAACCAGGAAAACCAACCACCGAGAAGACGGTTCACTCTTCATCACGACAATGCGGCTTTCACACATCGACTGAAAATACTCAATTTTTGAGCACTTAAAACATCAATTTTATGAATCATCCACCACACAGTCTTGACTTGGCATCAAATKACTTCTTTTTATTCCCGTACGCAARARATAAACTAASARATCAAMATTTTTTTTAACTCTGAAGACGCAGTTGAAGCGTTTTGGATATACAGGATTTGTCCGGAAAGTAATAGGACTGAGTCGATTTAAAAAAAWTTATTGAACCTATTKTTAAAATTCTTTAAGAACTTTCAAAATAGGCTGCCAGCGCAATTTCCAAGTATTGAAAGCATCACGGAAAGCATTCTCCGAAATAGCATTGAGAGNCGCACTCGCCACTTGGCTCCCACGTCAAGTTGACAGTCATAACTTCGAAGTCGTAGATAATTTCGTCTATCTTGGAATCGGCATTAACACCAGCAAGAATGTCAACCTCGATATCCAACGCAGAATAACTCTTGCTAACAGGTGTTGCTTTGGACTGAGTAGGCAATTGAGAAGTAAAGTCCCCTCTTAACAAACAAAAACAAAAGCCACTCATTATCCTTGTCCTGCTATATGGGACAGAGGTATGGACGATGACAATATCTGATGACTCGGCCTTAGGAGTTTTTCAGAGAAAGGTTATGTGGAAGATGTATTGTCCTTTGAGCATTGGCGAATATCGCATTCGATGGAACGATGAGCTGTACGAGATATACGACGACATTGCCAAAGTTCAGCGAATTAAAAGACAGCAGCTGCATTGGCTAGCTCATGTTTTCCGAATGGACGAAAATACTGCAGCTCTGAAAGTATTCCTATTGAAAAAGGTTTCCTTCATTCAACCTAATACTTATCTGGACATATCTCCAATAAATTCTCCATGGATTGAGAAATTAAATCAATTGCTGGGCTTCTTGGTCCTACAACGATTGGTAAAATTAAAATGTACTTAGAGGAAACGTTACTACACTTTAGCGTCAAACTAGTTTCTAACTAGTTCATGTCCGTTTACATTACTGCTGCATTGCCAGATATATAGTATGTATAACAATCCAACATAGTTTTCTCCAACGGATATCTTAATTCAACCGCGACCATAATTTCTTAATTTCAGAGCAGCTGGTTCTAGATAATTCACTGTAATTTCCTGCTGCTGCTGCTTACCAACGCCCACTTTGTGCTTTTGGCGCCACAATGCTGTTGCACCAGTTTTCACTATATTATCACCAGCTTGCTGGGTTCATAATTTCCAATTGCCGACATGTTTGCGCGAGCGTGTGCACTGAAGTGGTGCGCGAAGGCAGCGGGTAGCTTTTARTTAGGCTATGCATTGTGTACAACAGCTGGAAAATTACACCTCACGTTTCGGGGGTCGCACGCTGAGGCGTCGTAAAATCCGCAACACTCCTCCGACATTATTGCTGTTTTTCGCGATATGACGTACTTTCCAAGTAACATATGTACATTTGTATGTATATTTGAGTGTGTTCGCAGTTGCCATACGCACCGAACTGCTGGCGCTGAAACAGTTGCTTCTATCTTGAGTGGCATGTCGCTCGGGTTACGGGGTTTTATTGCACTATGGAACAGTGCATTGTTGTACGCGTTTATACTCTTGAAACACGTTGCTATAGAGTACAATAATTTTGGTCATCTAACGGTTGTATGTATCGCCTAAAACTAAGCGAGATRATAGGTTATGTTTATATAAATGATCAGGATGACCAGACGAGTTGAAAACCGGTTGACTGTCTGTCTGTCCGTCCGTTCGTGCAAGCTGTAACTTGAGTACAATTTGAGATATCTTCAAGAAACTTGGTATGCAAGTTCCATTGTACAAAATAAGTACAAGTTGATGGACGTAATCTTAAAACTTTTTGGTGAAATAACAAAGCTCGGAACCCTACTTACCGATTTCGACTAAATTTAGTACCTAGAATTCTTCTCATATTCCGCGAAAATGGGTGAAATCGGACTACAAGCGCGCCTACTTCCTATAGAATCCTTGAATTTCGATACTGTGGTTGACGTTTTAGTTCTTGCAAGTTGCAAGAGTATAAAATGTTCGGGTATACCCGAAGTTAGCCCTTCCTTACTTGTTGTTTTCGTTTTTATTTTTAACTTTTTGTTATTCCTTTTTGTAGTTTTTAGATTTTGAGACTGTCGTATGGTTTAAGTGCTAGTGATTATGACTTTATTGTAAGCTCTTCGTGTTTAAGTTGCTTTTTCGTGTTGCAGGCGAAGTGCTTGTTCTGGTAAAATGGCATAAATATGTAGTGCTTGTACAATGATTAGCATATTTATGTATATGGAACAAAGTAGTTATACCAAAGTATAGGTCATACATATATTATGAGCACGTAACATTATTTTTGATGACCTTTAACATATTTGGACAAATCTTAAAATAATTGAAAATAATTTTCGAATAATTGTTTTATTTAAATTGAATTATAAATAAAAAAAAAATTGATTTATTTTTGTTACGAAGAGATACTGGAAAATATTATATTGATAAATTGGCGACTTTAAGTTTTCCTTGGTTGTTTTTTTTAGAGAAAGTTAGGATACGATGGCATTTTAATATTTTTATAAAATCTCTTAAAATGCTTGATGGTTACATTCTTAAATCGAGAGTACCGACTACCAAGGGTCGAAGCCATTATTAAGACGAGTCGAGTAGTACTTCTGTTTATACCCATTTAAAAAGCAATAGTCTCGTTTGGAATTGTTCTTAAAATATTAAAGCCAAGCAGCACTCTTTAGAGGCAAGGGCAGATCTCATTATTTAGTTTTACCTAATTAGTAACCAACAACAACGCGTTAAAAACGGTATTAAAATATCTGCGTTTAGGCTGGCATTCTTTAGTTCCAAAGAGAGTGGGGTTCTAAAAATAATAATGGAATAAATCCATTGACTAATGCGATGTGTGGAGAGTGGCGCAGTATTTTTGAAATCAAATATCGACGAGATCACTAGCTTCAATTTCAGGTATCAAATAGTCGGTTATCATGACGCGATAACGGTCGCCATTGACGGTTACATTCTTAAAGGCATCATTTTTAAAGATTCCATGATGATTGTTTTTTCTGGATGAAATGCCAGCACTTGAACCTCTTCAGCTTGTTCTTCGTCCCAAATGCAGCAATTTTTCTTTTCCACATACGCATCGAGCCAAAAATGGGCCTCATCGCTGAACAAAATTTGGCTCGAAAATGTCGGATCTTCGTGAAACTTTTCAAGAGTCAATAGAGCCGAGCGTTGTCACATGGGAAGTTCGAGTGGCTTCAGTTCTTGTACAAGCTGTATTTTGTATGCGCCATGACGTTCCATACGTCATTTCGAGTTGCCGCAAACGACACTGAATCATCTCTCCATGGTCTTCGTGTACACCCTCAGTTACGGCTGATATAATATATTTTCTTCACTGCGTGTTGGACCGGGTTTATTCGGTCGAACATTATCCAATAATGAATGCTGAGTCAAGATGGGTAATGGTGTTGCGAATAGCTGGTGAAAGTCATTTCCGAAGTGCATTATATTTTCAGTTCAACCGAATTTAACGAGTTTTCTTGTTTTTAAGATACTAAGATAGTCTGGTAGCCTCCCAAAAATACTAAAATCCACACTGAATATCTTACATACAACAATATTACTCATTAAATACATTCAGTCCGCACTTTTTCATACTTTTATCTTCATTTATTACATTTGACTAGTTTGAGCGTTTGACTGCAATCAAAATTTTGCCTTTGTATTTTCATATGCAAGTTTTCTTTAATCTTTTTTATGCAACTGTTCGCAAATTTATATTTCTTTTCATCATTTTGTATTTAAGTGTATTTGTGCATAGACATAAGTTTTCGTGCTAAGCTCAGTGGCGTTTATTGTATTGAATGTTATTCTTCTTGTTGTTGTAGTGTAATTAAATCAATCTCTAAATATATTTATGTATGTTTGAAACGCTTTCGCAGCTTTTGATTTCAAGTTTATGCGGCGCGCATCTTCAAAAGTTCTATTGCCAAAACTTCCGTCCACAGATAGCTTGAGCAACAGTCCGGGCCCATCATCGCCAGGTGAATGTTTTCCAAATTTTTTCTACCAAATCAATTCCTATTTACAATTTCCATGTACCATGTTTAGCAACCTATTGACACAAACTTTGATCTAAATTTATAATTGGCTATAACAAACGATACAAATGAACACACGACACGTGAGAAAAGCTAACATTTATACATACTCGTATGTGCTGTAGAAGTATGTGTGCTGTGAGCACGATAAGACCCGTGGGTCTGTACATAATAT